AACCTTCTGCCTCCAGCACTAGCGGCACTTACAAGCTGTCATCTAGGATGGACGTTCTACCTAATAATATATCAAAAGAGAGGACCACAGCCCGGGTGTTATGTTTGATTCAGAGTTGTCCTTTGACAGTCAAGTGCCTAAAGTTGTGCAATCCCGTTCTATCCAACTGACATACTGTAACAAGATCAGGTTATTCATTTCATCTGCAGATCTAGAAAAGGTCACCCATGCTTATATCCCCTCCAGATTAGACTATTGCAATGCTCTTTATTTTGGTATCAGCAGGTCAAACATTCAAAGTCTACAACTGCTAAAAAATGGTGCTGCCGAGATTTTAAAACGCTCTGTGAAAAGTGACCACATCACACCAGTCCTTGCTGCTCTTCACTGGTTAAGAGCTTGAATGGTCAGGCTCCTGCTTATAGCTGTGATATGCTGCCTCCCTATAAGCCTCATCGCTGCTTGAAGTCCTCTGGAAGGGCCTTACCAATGGCTCCTCAATCTAAACGTGACCAGGCCTTTGCTGTCCGAGCCCCTCGGCTGCCTGAAAACCTCAGACAGGCAAACTCTGTATCCTTTAAATTTCTTCTTAAAACTCACTTCAGCACACTGCCTTTTTTAACTGACATATAGTAGTAATTATTTTTAAATATTTTTCATGTTTTAGACTTTTGCTCAATTTTATTACTTTTAATCATTGTTCATACTGTAAAGCAGTGTGAAACTGTGTTTTGAAAGGTGCTATCCAAAGAAAATGATCATTATTGCTATTAATAGACAAAGTTTTGTATTCAGGCGTCACCATAAAAGCAAGCAAACACACACATCTTCGGGTATTCAATAACAACCTACATGGAGAAACATTTTCCCTAATCTTAATACGCAGGTAAAAAGCACATCTTACCATGGCATAATAGTTGCTGTTGACCATGATGGGTGCACGGCCTCTCAGGTAGATATACTCTTCCCACCAGTCACTGACCTGTGCACCACAAAGAAAGTGAGGGGACAAAGGAACAGAGAGTGACTATTAGATATGCTGCTTTTCTTGACACTAAAACTGAATCAAGATGCTGCACAATGTCCAATACTGTGACAAAAGAGCAGAGAAGAGGCAGAGGGAGATGAATGCTTTCCGACTTACATAGTTGGAGGCCCACCAGGACTTGAGCTTGAGGTACCACTGCAGTCTTGGTCCCAAGTTCTTCTCAAAGTCTTTAGTCAAGCCCTTCATCCTTGCATACTGCTCATCATCCATCAGGGGACGCACTGACTCCAGGTACTGTAAACACAGAGAAATGCCAAGTCGCAAAAAATGAAGCAAAGGCTCATAAATTTTACAGGACAACGGGTTTGCTAGACCAGAAAAACCAGTCACCTATGCTTTCTCCCCAGATACGACGGTAGTAGGGGTCTCCCCTGAAAGTTGACTAGTTGGAAAATTAGTTGAGACGTCAGTTAGTCAACGGAGACTCTTCTAGTCTAACCTTTGTTTTGATTTTATTTTTATTCAGCCAGTGTGCATTATAATAGAAGGTAGCCCCAGTCCTTGAATATTTGTCATCTTCTTTCATTTTGGTGTGCCAAGCAGACATTTGCTCAATACTTCCCCCTGTGGTCGGGGCAATACCCACTTCAAATGCGAAACTGGATGTATTTAGGTCCAACGACACTATTTAGCAAACTGCTGCCCAGTAGGAGGAGAAATAGACAATAAAATCCATCAGGACAAGACACTTAAAAAGGTGAGATTTGTACTTCATTAGAAGTGTTTTCAAACATCATGGTCTACTTTTACAAGAGAAAAGTAACGGTTGCAACAATGCGGCTGGTTTTAAATATGTGTATATTTTCATTCAGCCAAAAGGTCAAAAAGACAAATAGAGAAAAGCACTTGCTCACTGCACAAAAGAGAGATACAAGAAAAACAAAAAACGGAATGGCTTTTATTTCAGGTGGCTATTCAAAGAAAATTTGAGAATGTTTAGTCCTCTCTGATTTTCTTTAAAATAGAGACTCTGCTCCAATAGCCGGGACCATTGTGAACAATTGGGTATATGCACAGAGTACGGTTCAGAAAAGAAATGACAAGTCAGGATGAAGATTACCCTTCTGCAGGTGTCCTTGATGGAAGGAACAGATAGCCGTGGCAGGGAGTTCTGGAAACTGTAGAGCATTGGTTTCCTCCCAGAGAATATCTTCACTAATAACTGGACAAGAAGAAAAGGGGGAAGAAAGTTTAAAGAAAGCTTTGTGCTTCACCTGGAAACCTGTCAGGTAGGAGGAAAAGTGCAAACACAAGGAATTTTTAAACCTAGATCAAAAGGAAATTAAAGTCCTACAGCAATATTAGACTTCAATTAATTTACATCAAATTCAATTAAAGTAAAACAAGGGCACAAGCGTATAATAGTGTATCACAACTTAAATCCATTTCAGCACCGTTTAGTATAAAAAGTTAACCCCGTTTCATTTAGAATACTCACATTATTTAAGAACAGTCATGCCCTTGTAACAAACTGTGTAGCTGTATGATAAATAAATGTGTCACATATTTGATTGGCACAACGTCTGACAATGTTCTCTGTAGGAGATGGCAAAAACTGCTTTCTTTAGTCATGGAAAACACCACTGCTAGGACATTTCAGTTTAAATCTGCCCTAAAGGAGCAAATTCATTGTCTCACCAGCCACAGACGGGTAGACCAGGTCATAGAACCATGGCGTGTTTGCATCCAGCCATGCCACGACAACAAACACTTCAGGACATTCCTCATAATCATGATTATGGTAACCCACAGGCCAGTACCCACCAGAACTCCTCCAACTATCCTCTGGCTGTCAGTGGACATATATCGGCTGTGGATAGAAAAAGGGAGAGAAGGGGAGACAAAGGGGATGAGATAAGGACAAAACACCAGAGTGGGTCAAAATAACAGCAGCAAATCCACCTTTCTCATTTAACAGTTCAGTGGACAAATGAAAGATTAGATTATGCTTTACTGTGTAACAATTATACCATAATAACAACTTTGCAAACAAGAAAATATAATTGTGGTAAATAAATTTTTTATCTTAAAGTAAACAAGAACAATCAGATTATATGTTAGGTATATGAGGGTAACAACAGAGGATATTTCATGATCAAGAACTCCAAAATTAAAATTAAAATTCTAGATAATGAACATCACGTTGTAGCTGTCCTATCCCAGGCCAAAGTCAACGTCATGTTAAAACATAACTGATAACGCATGTCATTTATCTTGACAGATTTAAAACGCATATATACCCAATTCTTACTACACTGTGTACAATGATGACACATTCTGTAAGAAGTAGCATAGCTTTTATCTGCCATTTTGAAATGTTTGAAACTATGTTACATATAAATGTTTGTACTGTGAAATATTTAAACATTTCTGATAGTAACAATCTTAATAACACCGTCATAAACAATGTCCATATGACTTAACGGAAAATCCCCAGCACAAAGCATGTTTATGGAAAGGAAGTGTTTGCACAATTCATTAAAAACATTATGATGAGGTATGGTGGACAGCAGGAACACAACAGGATGTCAGAACCAACAAAAATCAAATCATCTACTGCAAAATCTGTAAGTAGCTGCTGCTGAAGGAGATGCTGGAAAAAACAACCCTACGAGTTTTCTCATAAATAGCTGAAATGTGCATAATTGCTCTCAAGCACTAACTCCATGCAGACTTGGAAGTTGGAGACAAGGACTGTCACTTTTATTTTTATTATTCTTTACTGATTGGGACTTGACCCAGACTCAAGGTTTAGTGACTTGACTACAACAATGGCTAGGACAGCACCTTGTGATATCATGATACTGTATATCATATGCCTTACCTGATGGGTATGTGTTGACCCAGCTTGGCAATCAATCCCATAGAGGGATCCAGCTGTTTGTATTTATTGTAGGACATGTAGGACACAACCACTATCATGAACCCAGCAGGGCTGCCCGGGTACACACCAGTCATTATCCCATTCTGTGTAAAGGTAAACCAAATGTAGGGAGCAAAGAATATATTAGGTACAGTTTACACACACACACACACACACACACACACACACACACACACACACACACACACACA